AAATGCAAAAAAAGTCTTCCAAACGACCCCCCTGTCTTCCTGTTGGTTATCAAATCACTATCGGTCGCTGGTCTGCAGAATACCGTTATTTAAAGTAAATAAAGTTTTGATCCCTAAACAGAACATTGATCAACAAAGTTACCAAAACTTTAAATCAAAAAAAGTTTCTGTTCCACTGCATTTCTGGACCATATCACAGATCCATTTTATGTGTTCTTTCAATGTACAACAACAAACTGATGTTACTAATCAAGTAAAAGAATTCTCTTGTTTCTTGTAAGCTCCCACAGATAACTATGACTGCCGTCCCAAGAATCATAGTTGAAGTGTCCAGAAAAGATTTTTGCACTATAAATAACATTCATTTCAACTTGAATAAACGATGCTGATTTTCTTTTTTCCTCCCTTCTTCTTCTTCTTTGTCTTCTAAGTAAGTAAAAATAACAGAGACGAATGCAGCTAAAGTAGATGCAATTCACTGTTCTTGTCTGCTCATCTTTTTTCACTCAATAACACTAAAGATAAAGAAAAGAAAAAAAAAGAACAAAAATTTATGCCTTTTTTACAACATTTCTACTTTCACTTCAAAAAGAACAAAATGGTTTTTTGAATTCCTCATAATTAAGTAATTTTCAAAACATCAAAATTTTTCTTCAACGGTTTTTTAATTGACTATAAATAAAGCCAAAAAAACTGTACCATCCTGAATGCAAGGCTCAGCAAAAATTCACTGGAAGTGACTGCTCGAAAAGAAAAAAAAGCAGCTTATGAAAAGAGAAAAATTAAAAAAAAATAATGAAATTTTTTAACCAACTTAACCGAACAAATAATATGCAACAGTTGTTGAACAGTTACTTACCTTCAACAATAATCAAAAATTGTACAAAAATGCCACAAAAAAACCAAATCTGAAGTAAAAGTTCATGCCTTGTTTAGTTAAACATTCCTTACTAATCTTACGTTAATTGTTCAGAAATTAATTTACAGTTCTCTCATACAACAGACATCCTGCTGGAATCGCTATGCACTGAAGTTAAAGCCGAAGATGTTATTACCGTGGAGAAAGAGAAATATAAAGTGGAAAAAAAAGCTGAAAAAATGGGTAAACTGCTTTCCATCGTTTCTTCAGCTGCTTATCTGCTAAAAATAACTGATAATCAGCAGCTCAATTCTACCGCTCTTTCCATAACTTCAACAAAATTGATCAGCAATCAAATTTTATCAATTAAAAAAGAGATTTTTGGAAATTTTCTTTCTTTATAATGACAACTTTTGTTCCATTAAGGAACTGTTAAATTCCAAAAGATTGACAAAGACCAATAATATGATTTAAAGACTTTGAACCTTTCTAACTGTTATAAGTACTATTACCCTGACACCATAATGCAAAAAAGTTCAGAAAGAATCTATCACGAAGTGATTGAAATGGGAGTCTCCTTCATCGACGAACTTTATGTAGATGAATCCAATTCTGTGGGCCGTTCCATTACACGTGACTACTCTGCAGCCATCGTACATATCAGGTTTCAATATATTTTATCAAAGACTCATCTGTCGCTAATCATCCCAAAAAACCTGATATCCTTCTCCGAAAACAGCCGATGTCTTCGAGAAAAATAATTTTCTAGAGAAAAAATGGATGAAACACGAGATCGAAGAAGAAGATGCGAAGATCTATTAGACGTAAGACGGCTAAAACTGCAGCAACTTCTTCAACTGTATACATGTGAAAAAGACGGTGATCAGGTACAGTGCTCAATAACAAAAAAACCTCCAATAATCTCCGCAAATATCCCAGAAAGAGTAGAACAGTTAAGCGCTTAAAACTGAAAATGAAAAGAAATGATAAATTCATTCTTTCAAGGCTACAAATTGGATTGAAGAACTGCATGAAACTTTGGTAAACGATTATGACGAAATTGGATGTAGCAAAATGGAACTAGCGATTCTTCGCGAAGACAGAATGAGACTTGAAGAGACAGCAAGAGTATGAGTCCAACGCAATTTTTAAAAAATACATTTACAGTGCAAATGCTTCTTTTCTAGTCGGAATTTAAGTGGGGCTACTACATTTCTTGACATTACCGATTCTTAATTACAGAGCACTTACGAATATGGGAAACAACTCTGTCAGGTCGCATTGGTACTACGGCGTTCATTGCGCATGGAAGTGCAACCCCAATTGGCTCTTAATCAAAGACTCGAAAATGCTTGGGGAAGATTCTGTAGAGCTGTAAGCGAGTCGGAAGCAAATCTGAACATTACACTAGCATTCCATTCAACAGTCAATGAGGTTTAGTTCAGTAAACTCTTGAAAGGATTGTAGGCAAGACTCAGTCTCATAAACCTCTAGATTTAGGTCAACCTTAGGCTCGATGATCTCCACAGCAAAGTAAGCTCCTACCAAGCCAATAGAAATAAAAACAGCTCACTGATCTACTCAATAAACCTTGAAAAGAAACGTTTGGCGGGGGATATACGCGAACTGAAGCATATAGCTGAAATGCTAATAAAGCAAATTGAATCAAAAAGCGACAGGTTTTATTTTAGCTGTTCACACTTCTTTTAAAGTAGTGCAAACAATGCAATCAATTTTCTTCATCTTTGTGAAAGACGGTACCATAATCCATCTTGACTTTTGCTCCTATTACCGGTAAAAAATGTGCAGCCCATAAAACAGTAGTACTTTCCAGAGTCAGCAGCAGATTGCAAAAATCGGATGCTGCCGAAGAAATCCAAAAAAGGCTAGAGGAAGTCGAAGAAAAACTAAACAGGTTAAGCAATCTCGAAAGCCCTTCAGTAAGTGGTAGCCCTAGGTCTGGAAAAGAAATACCACCAAAGTCGGCTAACAGTGAAGACACTACAGAATCAAACTTTAATAACGCAGAAACTATTTTACCCAAGCAAGCCGTTCCCCAAAAAACAATGTCGCCTATAAACCTATCAGTTAATGAAGAATAAATAGTGATATCGTAATTTGATCGGAATAGATCTTAAAAAGGCTACTAGTCAGAGCCGTAAAAACGGCTTTCAAGCAACCTTTATCCGCTTCATATCTTAAACTTCATTCCTTAAACAATAAGATTATCATAATTTTCAAAGCACCAGAAAAGAGAACAGCCCCCATCGTTCAAATGCTCCTCAAAACAATGCCGGGAAAAGTTTTGAAAATGAAACCCTCCCAAACTCAAGACTGGAACTGGTGTTTTCCTAACACATCAACTGAAATGGATAGACAGAGTTCAAATTAAAGATATTTTTCTCTGGAAAAGCAGCCCTCAGTGTACAGAAATTTGTAACAAACGTACATCAAACGTAAAATAAAGTCATAAAAGCTTTTGCAACTAAATGATGGTGTTTGTTTTATTTGATTAACAAAGCTTTCTAAAAACATTAAATAACATCTGGTTTCAAACCTTCTTGCGAGACATAATAACGTATAAAGCAGTCTACTGTTTTAAGCTTTCAAAAAATTTTTTTCTGCCTTTAACCAGATCGTTTTTGAAATTCCAAAAACTAAACAATCAATAGAAACTTTTTCGTTAATCAATAGAAAAGAAAGGTTGTAAAATAAAAAATACTTAGTCTTGAGGGAGAAACCAGAAACAGTAAAAAAATATGAGAATTCAAAGCACAGAGAGACAGATTAACACAAAAACAAAGAAAAAGTGTTTACATTTATCAAAAAAATTAAAGCAAGAAATAAGCCATTTGTGACAAGAGTAAACAAAACATGATGTAAATGACAAAAAGTGCGGGTTAGATACAAATTTTAAATGATATTATTATGACTCGAAACGCTCGCTAAAAGACAACAGTAATCATCGTGAATCAACATTAGAACAACTAGACACACCATTTACAAGGTCACTATATAAATAAACACAGACAGCAAGAATTCGGCAAAATTCAAATTAAAAAAGGTAAAGGTATCCACACACTAAGTTGCTAATTTAAACCCGGAACTAACTAAGTAGCTTAGTGATTTTGCGTAGACGAAATTCCATACGATACGACAAAAACTTTTAAAAAATCATATGACTAGAAAAAAGCTATAAACAAAACTTTTCAAATGAGTTTGCATAGAGCGTGATTGTAAGCATATCCATATTAGCCTTCCTTAAATAAGAGTTTAGGAACAGTCGAGTTATACACTGACGAGGGCCAATCAAATGTCTTTTAGCGATTTTGAAGCTCAGCAGAAACTACAATAAGCTACAAAAATCACCTGAAATCTGGGAAAACAAAATTAATTTTTATCACTACTTAATCTAAACAATATTCGCTGACTCAAAATGAAAAGAAAAAAAAGAAAAACAACATACAACAGCAGCAACAAAATGTACTTGCTTATTCAGTAGATGATGCCTTCTCAAGCCGTCGTAAACGAACTAAAAGTGGCAAGTCAACAAACCGCCAGGTCACAGAATAACAGTTCAAAAAATTAAAAATTATATGCATTAAGTCTTTAAACTTACGTCTTTCATAATTTCTTTCAAGGGCTTCTGAAACGCGATGACGAGCCTCCATAGACTGAAATGCAACCCCAACACGCAATAAAGAATCGTTCTCTTCAACCGACAGCATCATATCCATCTCAATTTGATTGCCAAGAACAGAAGCACGCTACATTCATAAAGTAACAAGATGAGGAAGAGATAATGATATATTTGAAACAAACTAATAAAATAATTACCCTGCTTATTGGTAAGCAGAATTTCTAATCACGACAACTATGTTACACAAAAAGGATACAAATATTATTATACCTGGTTCTCTGCGTGAAATGCTATCAGATTTTGGGTAACCAAAGTGGCACGGAGAAGTTTAGCAAGCAATTCTGGGGAAATGAAATTCGACTCTATGTTGAGCATGCGCAATGATGGAGATGATTCTACCAGTTCTACCAAACCCTTACAACAGTGAAACTCAGTTACGTCTTAAACAAGCAAAAAAAGAATGTTAGAGACGATTAGTTGTTTTGAGAGATTAAAGCTAGAACTGTTATGAAAGTATTTAAGCGAATTTATACAAATTGTCAAAAAACTACCACTAAGTAGATAAAAAAACAAAAGCGAATTCATTTTTGTAAATCTTCCTCCCATCCTCATCCTCATCATTTCAAAAATATAAAAATATAAAAAAAAAACAGAGCCATATATCATAATCCAAAAAATAATAAACAGAATCACCATCTTTATTATTTTTTCAAATAAGAGCATAATTTTCTTACTCTCGCTTCCTGATCGGAAATCGCTGTATTAGCCATAGACAGCTTTTCAATGTGCTTACTAGCACAAGCTGCTTTAATTAATTTTTTAATACGTTCCTTTGATAGCCTCTTCATATTATTTATATTGACCTCCTTTAAATCTGGATCATTACTCTCTAACCGCCTGCAATATTACCCAAATAATAAAATTAACCAATATTACAATCTCAAAACCGCCAACACTCAGTTAGAAATTAAGACCAACAAAGTAAGTATATAAACCATGCTAAGAATGAAATTAAAACAGTTATCAAAATAAAACCAAAACATTACTTAATGCAGTCGTCAACATCTGTCTCATTTTCAGGTTCCTCGGGAAGCACCTTTGATTCCGACGCCCGGATCACACCGCTGAATGTACTGTGTTCATCTTGACCTTTTCCCTGAAGCAGTTTAAATCTAAATAACACAGCGGTAAGTCCAAAAAAAAGGATCAAAAAAAAGGACTAATCTCAGACAATACCATATAAACCTTCAAACAGTATCCTGTTAAAAATAAAAATACATTTTAAATAATCAACTTTCACCAACTGTTTTGCTCACTGAGAATAAAATATAAAAAAGCAAACATCAGTCTGCACATATCAGAATTAGTACTAGATCTCCCCCTTCTAAAAACCATATAACAAGTATGGTAAAACTGCAAGAAAATATTGAAGACGTTCAAGCAATTAAAACCTCTATCATTCAAAAACAAATAATTTCAGCGCACTAGAAAATGCTTTACTTATCATAAAATTCCTAAGCGTAAAAAATAAATTTTTCAAAGATTCACAAATCAGATTGCCTTCAAGATTGAAAAACCATCCGTCGCAAAACAAATAAATTGATTTTAATGGCATTTTCCACAAAGAAAAAACTTGGAACATGTGAAAAAAGTAGTTTTCCGGCAGATAATTCCACTAAATACAGTAAAAGAAAAAACATAAAAAAGCGAAAAAACAAAATCTATAAAAATTAAAGTGAGAGAGCCCGTCTGTGAAAGCTAATTTTAAAAAATTTACAAGAAGCGCGTTGTGGTATTGAGTCTGACTCAAGATGTTATGCATCCCCAATATTCCAGCCAAATCCACAAGGTCTTTTTCATGAGCTTTGCCCAAAGCCTCTCCGATTTCATCGTCGTCATCGTCAACGTCAAGTTCTATAGGCATTTCCATTTCTCCTGGTTGTTTGGGCTTATCTTCATCTTTTGGCTCAAACACCTTTCCTTTAAATTTAAACTGTAAGCACAATAAGGCACGAATATAGAAAGATAAGCCATAACTATGAAGACCAGCATAAACGCCCTTATACCCATCTAAAGCAAATCTTTCATTGAAAAAAAGACATTGCGCAATCGTCCAAGCCTAGCGCAATCGTCCTTCCTAAATTCTTCAAAACTTTTTTACCTCTTTTCGTTCCCGGACTGAAAGGTACATGCTCAATCCAATCTTCTTCCTTCTTTGCTGTTTCCTCTAAGTACTGCAGCAGCTTCTCTCTCTGGAATGGCCCTGTTGGTGCCTTAGTTGTTTGGTCCCGACAACGTTGAGATGGCGGTAACATTGAATTCTAAATAGAGCATTGATATGTAAGATATCATAAAAATTACTGATATATGACCTTAACTAATCAAACAATTTAAAATAAAAAACTACTTTGAAAAAAGATAAAAAATAAGGCTTAATTCGGCGAAAATTCGGCTGTAAGCACGCAACAAAAATGAGTAAGAAAAAGATACTTTACAGCAAAAAAATAAATAAACAGATAAAGAGCTATTTATGACAGATTTGAAAGCGCCCTACTGTATTCACAACAAGTCTGTTACTAACCTAACTTCTGAAAAGGAATGTTCATAGTGCTTTAGTTATTTTTTTCAATAGCCAAAAACGCAGGCATTTTCCATCGCTGTAAGTTCGCTGACATATTTGGCTTTATTGTTTTAGCCTTTAAACAGCAAATAAACCAAATCTTGATCAAATTTCATGGTGATACCAAACTTGTCTTGAACGGCAGAGTTTACAAATTATAATCTCTCCAACATAAAGGTGTTAAAAATCTCACTTTCTTACAGCGAAAACCTATCTGCCAACTAGCAAAACCAGCTACTTTATCACTGTGATACTGGTTTTCGATAATGGCTTCTTTTTCGAAGATTTCTATGTTCAACTCAGTAATACACTGTCCACACGAACAGCTGCACCAGTTTTTAAAAAAAAAAAAAGAATAAAATAAACATTAACAGTTTCCACAGTAATGATTTGGTCACACTTCTTTCCATCTCCTTTGAGATCTTGCTGAGTATCTTCTAACAAATAAAGCATAAAAGCCATAAAAAAGCCTTATAAGAAAAGAAAAGAGATATATAACAAAACCATAAAAAGCCTTATGTAAAAGACAGTGTTCGTGCAATCTAAATTAAAAGACAGTTACTGAATATATCGCTACAAGCAAAAATTCTTCAATATCTAATTTTAAAGAAAAAGCAGCTAATAAATCATAATAAAAAAAACAAGATGAAGAACATGGAATGAAAACTCACATCAGGATCAAAATCGCTGTTAAGATCTTCAAGTTCTTCAGGAGACAATTTAGACAGTAGCCCCTCAAAGTCAACATCATCTAAATCGCGCAAATTTTTCCCATACAACTTGTAACCAGGATTTTGCGGACGTGCAGCTTGTGGTACTGAGATTGTCTGTTCTTCGGAATAGTAGCTATAACTCCCAATAGGATTCATTTTCCAAAGAAAAAGCAGCGTGAAAAAATACTGCTGACCAAAAAAATCCAAGAAGAAAAACTGGAACTGGCAGAAAGTTGAATACGAATAATTAGACGAGGGCAATCTATTTAGCACAGATACAACAGATGAAATGAGAGGGCCTTCTTTTTTACTTTCTTTTTTTTTCTTTTTTAAATAAACGCTGCACAGCAAAAAGTGACTGAAATGACTGTGTTGTGTCGAAAATGCTAAAGCTCAGGACACAACCCTTTACATACAAACACTTTTAAGCAAAAACCAATTCAAAGCTATCAACTAAATAAATAAAACTCACTCGCTTTTATTCATTGTTTTCGTCTGCAACGAACGTACACTGTCACGGACGTATTTTGTTGGTATTTCTGTTTGATATTAAGATGGAATTTTCGATTCTTCGCTATTTCTTTTTTTCTCTTTTTTTTTTTAATTCTAACTTTCCTTTTTTTTCTACAATCTTCAGCACCGTTCGGGGGGGTTCCCTGTGTAAATCGATCGGTTTATAATTCCACTTTCGGGGCAACCACTCCTAAAATCAAACAATACTACGACGGAGAGTTTCCAAAACAAACGGAATAAAACCATCAAAATAGAAAAAGAAACAAATAAATAAGTAAATAAATAAAAGTAAAAATAAGACGAACCACAGCAAAACTCATACTAACCAAATAAATAAATATATAGAAGAGGATAAAAAATTATGATTATACATAATGCTTATGAGTATAAATGGTATTTATAACTATATACATATATTTATAAAATTTATAAATGATGTGTAATTTACAATGTAATGAAAAAGAAAATGAATAAAAATGTATATTCATATTGGTGGTTTTAGTGGATGTGAAAATGTGAAAAATAAAATGGCTGCTGGGTGTTTCAAAGCTCACATTTGCAGTAACACAGAGCCTCAACATTGATCGATAGCGTTTCGGCAACTACCAAACAAATGGAATGTTCACAAAAAAAAAATTTCGGTGTTGGCATTTCGCCAAAATTTCTTCAAATAGCCTTTTTTTTTTTTTTTTTTTTTTTTTTTTTTTT